GGGATTAAACAGCATGCCCAACGATATGCCAGGGGAGGAAAGGCCACCCTGGGGCGTGGTCTGACACCAGTTTTGCCTGATGCCTTCCGCCCTGGTAACCTGTAGCTGGCTATAAATTGTTCAGCCAGTTTGTTTAGCCATCTTTCCCAGTTTCCTCATTCTACTTACCGAGGAATTTTCCTAGCTTCTCATCCTGTCTAATGGATATACTATATTTTGTGTATTTATTCATCAGTTGATGGATATTTGAATTATTTCTGCTTTTAACTATTATGGAATGCTACTACGAACATTCACGTACAGGTGTTGGTGTGGACATCTGTTTGCAATTCTTTGGGGTATATACTTAGGAGTGGAATTGCTGAGTCACATGGTTAGATCATTTTACATTACCAACAGCAATATGTCAAGGTTCCAATTTCTTCACATCCTCATCAACACTTGCTATTATCTGTCTTATTATAGCCAAGAAGATGACATTTAAGCTAAGCTTTGAAGGCACTGTGGGAGTGAGCCATGTGGATGGATATCCAAGGGGAGAGCCTGCCAGGGAGAGGGGCCAGCCGGGGCAAAGCCCTTGAAGTAAGAGCGCGCCTGATGTGCTCCAGGAACAGTAAGGGGGCAGCAAAATGGGTGATATGATCAATGGAAGTGAGAGAGCTCATGGAGGGCCAAACACAGGTAGTTCAAGGCCATTGCGAGGACTTTGGCTTTTACTCTAAAACAAATAAGTAGCCATTGAAGGGTTTTAGAGCAGGTAGGTAATGTGATTTGAGAATAAAACAAACAGCATCGCTCTGATTGCTGAAATCTACAATTATGTGGGCAAAGAGGGAATCAGGGAGAATCAAAGAGAAAACTGGTAGATTTTTGCAATAATGGTGGCCTGTAAGGCAGTTGAATCAGGGAGTGGTAAGAAGTCCTTGAATTCTGCATATGTTTTAAGATAGAATAAATAAGATTTCATGCCAGACTGTGAGTGGAACATGAGAAGAAAAAGAGTCAATATTTGTGGTTCACTGATTTTTGCTTCAAGATATAATATATTAAGAAATATACTCGAATTCATTTCTTCCCTATTAGGCCAGAACCAAAGTTCTTACGTGATTTCAAATGTTTAAAGAAATATTGTCCAAGGTGATTGATAATTATAATAATAATCATAATAATCTATTAATCCAACTATCTCATAAGGCAGGTAATATTTTCCTCGATTTATACATGTGTAAACAATTGACAGCTTCCCTTATTTTTGTTTCCCTTCCAAGTTAGGAACAACCAGAAAAAGTTGAATATACCCCCTTAACCACTATATAGGACACCCTTCTTCTAGTTAGCCCACCCATATCTTCCCTGTGCTACAGCCTTCAGCCAGGGCATCCCTGAGGCCTCCTCTTTTCTGCTATAAATCTTCCCCACTTCTCTGCCTTCCTTGAGTTTGTGTTAAATCGCAAGTGATGGTGACTGACTTCCTTGCCACAGCGAGCTCGTAATGAAGAGCCTTTGCTTGTTCTCATTTGGTTAATCTTCATTTATTTCCACAGGTGTCTTAGGTCAAGTTTCCCAGGAAATGGACTTTGACATGAAGACTTGGGAGTACGTTTACTGGGAAACACTCTCAAGATCATCACTTGTGAAGGGGATGATGGGAACAGGACTGGACAGAGGGAGAAGTTGAATTTGCACTGGTGACTTTAACTGATCCCATGAGTAGCTCTGAGTCTGGGATGGCCCTTCAGAAAAGTACCCTGGCCTGGATCAGTCATTGAATGCAAGTTACCATTGGGAAAGGAGGAGAATATCAGGTAAAAGAGGTCTCTTTGACCAAAGACAGGTCTAAGGGAGGATCCTAGCTGTGAACTCCCAGCAGCCAGTTCTCTGGGCAGCTGGGGAAGGAGAGCTGGGGTCCCCTGGGGGGAGGGAGAATTAGTCAACAGCACCAAACATACAGTTGGCAGCAGATTAGCTCACCTTTGAATCTAAATTTAAAGCTCTTTTCACTACATCATAGCTGTCTTCACTCAAAAAAAAAAAAAAAAAAAGACAAATGGAGATTTTGTGACCACTCATTTTTTCCCTTCCTAGTCACAAAACCAAGACCATATTTGCAAAGTGATTCTGACATTTTTAGTAAGTGATTTTGAAAATATCCATCGACTCAATTGAATATGGCATTTAAAAGATCTGAAATAAGACCCCATGAACCAAAGTAGTTAGCTGAATTACCACATGTAGACATTTATACCAGCGTAATATTACAGTTCTTTACTAAATGTTTCCCTCTCTGAGTAGAGTAGCACATCGTTCCAGCTTTCCAGCTTGAGATGCTGACAAATTGAAAATACATTGATGTGAAAATAGTATCATTCCTACTTTAAAGATATTCATTCTCCAGGGAAAATTATTCTGTCTTAGTCAAAAGCCTAATATATCTTGAAAGTTAGTAAAATATTAATTTAGTCTTTCAGAGAATCAGGTTTCCTGCCTTACTTCACAGTGTTACATGAGTACTGCAATACTTTTAGCTTTATTTGAGCTACTTAACCTCAGTGCCTCTTTTTGGTTTTTAAATCCATCGGTACTCTATCCAGCCATAGGAATTTACCTAAAGATTATAAAACATATACCACGTCTTGCCTACAGATTAATCTGAATCGTCCCCTTTACCTGGAAACAAGTCTACCTGTGACTTCGTATAAATCTGTCTGTCAGCATATCCTCTCATCATCACAAGACCTTTTGAATTCTTACTCATTGTTCCCGGAGCCTCGGGCTTTTTCCCTTTCTGTGTGTCCTGGAAACCCCCGCACTCACCCCCCAGCCCTTCTCCTCCCCTCAAAAGCAGGCCATCCCTTGGTTAGCTTTGTATGGGATCTCAGCCAAATTGTAATTTTTTTGGCCCATAGCATAGCATGGTAGTTCTTAAACTTTGACTCCTAAGAATTGTTGAGGGAAACTGTTAAAATAGAACATATAAGAAATTCATCCTTGATCTTAAGAATCAGAATTTCTCCTCAAATGTATCATTATAGTTAAATGTCACTTTGTGGAATTCTGTGGAACATCTCAGCTTGAGAACCACTCACAAGCAAATTTTGCATTTCTAGCAACTGACAGAGTTTCCTGACTGTAGAAGACCAGGCTACAAGTGGCATTTAGAGTTGATTCTTTTCTGAAGTTGTATGTCTAATCGTAGTCTATGAAAGCTGATCTTCCCAGCAGTAATACATTTGTATGATAAGACCTATCAGAATGGAAACATTATAAATACAAAGAAAGGCGACTGACCTGGGAAAAATTGCTGTGGAAGAATGGGAAAGATCTGGTGATTTCTGGAATGTTAAAACAAAAAGACAGTAAAAGGGATAAAGGTTACTGAGAAGGGGCTGAGAAGATGGCACTGGAAAAACGTGAGGTAAATTATTGAACAAATATTAAATGGAACACTGGAGGAGGTGGGGGGACCCCCAAAGATAAGAATACATAATTTAATTTTTTTCTTGAGTGACTAATATGTGTCCTGCATCGTCCTAAGTGCACCAAGACATGGTTCCAAAGTTTACATTTGTATTAGATTTAGCTGGGGAGATTATTATAAATAAAATTCCTGGATGCCACACTAACTCTATTAAATTTAAATAACTGGAGTTGGGATTGGAGATCTCGAATGTATAAAGCTCCCCAAGTGATTCTGATGCATGCGATGAAAGGACTAATATTTGGAATCACTGTATCAAGAGACAACAAAAATGAATAAGGCATAGTGTTTGTTTTGAAAGGAGGTGCAGACCGGTATATTCAGCAATATGCTCTACCAGCTTTCTTGACTGCCTTATATTTATGGCTTCTGTTTAATTCGTGATATATCTGTTCTCTGAAATGCTTTTTCTTCCTCTCTGCCATGAAAATATTACCCATTCTTCAAGATCCATTCAAAAGTGAGAATTGGAACTGTGTTCCATGATCTCTGTCCCCACTCTTCCCACCCCACGTCCATTACACACATAGAAATTCTGCCCTTAGAATATCTGCTTCCCCCCATTATCTCCTTTCCATTCCCATTCCCACCCTGTTCGCTCATCTGAACACCTGAATGGCTTTTTAACTGATCTTTCACACTTCATCTGCCTTCCCGCCACAATTTATGCTTTACGGTTCTGTTAATCTTGCAAAATTCAATTATAATTACTTTTCATATTGAAAATAAAGTTTACTATTTCCTCGTTACCTACAAAATTAGGGATGAAAATGCTCCAGACTGGCTTTCAAAACTACTGCATCAGTTAGTCTTCCTTGGATTATAAGCACCAGAACCAACTCTGGCTAACTTAAGCAGAAAAAGATACAGGCTAGTTGACAAAGCCGAAGTTCCAATCACTTCCCTTTTTTTTATGGTTCTTAAGATGCTCATGCTTAGAGATTGTCTGATTCAACGTATTCCAACTCTTATTAATAGGGTAACATGGGATATCGACTGGAAGACCACCTACAATTATGTTCATTGGGGAAAGACACTTAATTCAAAGCAAAATTAAGGCGCTATTACCAAACACATAAGTGAATGTTAGGGAGCAAAACTAAGAAATGTCTACTACACCCAAAATATGGCCGCAGTCTGATGTGAGTAAAATTGGAAACAATGGAGAGGACTTCTGTGCTTTCTTTTCTGAGATATCAAAGTTCAGATGGGTGAAATAACAGAGGAAGCTAACACTTGACAGCCTCAGTGTCCTGGGGGTTGGGAGAGGTGAGAGGTTAGTGGTTTGAAGTAAATGTTTTAATCAATGTGTGGAATGATTCAAGAAGTCATTGTGCCTTTAAGTGCTCAGATAAACTGTTCTCATTTTTTCTTGTGATCAACCAATTTCCCCATGATTACAATGTCCTTTTCCAAACACCCTATAGTATTTTATTTTTAAGTAAGCTAACCATCGTAATACAAGAACAACCAGAATTTTATTGTGGAGAAAGTCAGTAGGGTAACAGGAACTTCAGTATCTTTAGGAGGGTAACAAGTCTTCCACCTCCAAATTTAAGAAAGGCACAATAATCTCCCGTAGTTCCCACATTCTGCGGCGCCCAAGCATTGCAGGGAGCACCCTTTCAAAGATAAACGTAGCATCGAACAATAGTATGTAACATGAAAGTCCTGTGAGGGAGAGGACATAAAACACGATGAAAATCCTCAGTGCACGTTTCCTACAAGAAAAGAAAACACCTGTGTTAAAAAAAACATTCTGAAGAAAAACCACACTGAAGTGACTCCTGGCTCCTCCGCCCAGGTAGCGCTACAACTTCAAGTTAAGTAACTGAACTTCTCTTGACCTCAGTTGACATCTGCAAAAGGAACTTGGACTTGACGATCACTGATGTTCATCTTAGGGCTGGCACTGCAATTGTAAGGTTCCACAGACGTGAAACAATGAACCCTTCGATCCTGTGAGGCTGTTTCCTCCGAAATGTTCTTCTTGAAGGCGAGTGCCCTCTTTACCTCACCTATGAGGTATATGATGACTATTTGGGAGAAAATAAAGCTGCAGGGCAGTTAGATTTTCCCCAGGACGTGAAATAAGATGTGACAAATGAAATTCAGCCTTCTCTATCCCCCATTTTGTCCTGGCATCAGACGTGCTCTTCTAAGGTAATACAAGCTTTTCCAAGTCTTTGTGGACTCCTTCTTCTGGGCTGTACTTATGATGTATGTTATATATTTGCTTTTAAGTTCTTGCATTATTATTTTCTAAATATAAATGTAATACATGATTTGGGGAGGAGATCTGGAAAATCCAGAAAAACACCAGGAAGACAAGAAATGTCACAGATGATCCAGTTACCTGGAGATAATTACCATCTATAATACATTTCAGAAGAGAAAACCTAGAGCACAGTTAAAGCTTACTATGGATATTTTGTGTGCTCCAACTCAGTGGATTCTATAAACCTCAGCCATGTTTCTTGGCATTGTTGCCACTGGCTGTCTCTTGATAGATATACAAATAATTGCTTCTACTTCACACTTTTATTAAAGAACCAATGTTCTTAAAACACTGTTAGGAAAAGGCTTTGAGGGTCCTTAACATGAAGCAGAGATGTCCTGACCTCAAGCAGCACTAAACGTGGATCTGTTCTTTCTCATAAAAATAAAAACAGCTCACTACCAAAGCATATCTAGTAAATAAACATTATTATTCTTAAATTCTAAAACTAGTCATTTTAGAAATAATAAACTGGAACATTTTCAAAGAAACACATTTAACATTTATTTTTTAAGAGGAAAACAATTTTTCTCCTGTAAGTTTTTTTTCCTTTTTCTTTCTTTCCTTCTTTCCTTCCTTCCATTCATTCTTCTTTTTTAAATTTTGCTTGGTTGTTTTTGTTGCTATTGTTGTTAAAGTGTATCCTTCAGTTTTTATTTCCCACGGTGAACACTCTAGGTCACCCTGACCAGGGGCCGAACCCACAACCTAGGTATGTGTCCGGTCCAGAAATCAAACCACTGATCATTTGCTTTGTGAGACTACGCCCAACCAGCTGAGCCACATTGGTCAGGCCTCAGACATTTTTCTTAGTAAAACATTATAGCTGCTAAATCAAAATAAGTTTTTATGATATTACATGTACAGAACCAAAAATTAGTCATTAATAATTTTATTTATTTTGAATTTATCTTCTGTAGAGAATTAAAATACTCTTTTGATATTTGAATACTATATCTATGTATCTCTCTGTCAAGACTTGACATGCATAAAATCTTTAACCTTCTCCCAAATGCTCACATTACTGTGGTGAATACACAGGGGAGAACTATAAGAGGATTGAAGGTTTGGGCGTAATACAATATTAAGAAGAGACCACCCTCTGAAGCTTAAAATAGCAAAAATGATACATTATGATGGACTGAGCCTGCCAAATATACTTCCTCAAAAAGATAATGTATAAATATGCTCAGTGGAACTAGTAGGTTTCCAGTTCTCTGCAAGAGATTGGTGTAAGCCTTGGGAAATCTTAGCTAGGATGTAATGATGTGATGAAAGATGACCAACTCAACTGGGTCATAATCTGCCCATATAACACTATTAAGTGATAATTGAAAGGTATTCACTTATTTATTTGTCTGTTTGTTTTTGAAGCATAACTCACATGCCATAACATTTATCCTCTACAGTGTACAATTCAGGGGGTTTAGTTTACTAAACTAAACATCAGCTTGTACAATCGTCACCACTATCCAATTTCAGGACGTTTTTTTCTTACCCCAAAAAGAAAACCTGTACCCATGAACAGCTGCTTCCTGTTTCCCATTACCCCCAGGCCTACCAATCACCAATCTCTTTTCTATCTGTATGGATTTTCCTCTTTTGAACATTTCATAGGAATGAAATCATACAGTGTATGGTCTTTTGTGTCTGACTTCTTTCACTTAGCATAATGTTTCCGATGGTCGCCTATGTCATAGCATATATCAGTAGTTTATTCTCTTTTATGGCTGGAAATACTCCACAGGACTGATATACCACATTTTGTTTCCCTCTTCATCAGTTGATGGCCATTTATATTGTTTCTGCTTGTTAACTATTATGAATAATGCTACCGTGAACATTCATTGTACAGGTGTTTTGTGGACATAGATTTTCAGTTCTTTTGGGTGCATACCTAGGAGTGGGTCATATGGTCGTTCTATATTTAACATTTTCAGGAACTGCCAAGCTGTTTCCAGAGTGGCTGCACCATTTTACAATCCCACTAATAATATCTGAGGTTTTTAAATTCTCCACATGCTTGTAATTGTCGGTCTTTTTATAGCTATCTTAGTGGTGTGAAGGGGTATCTTGTGATTTTGATTTGCATTTCCCTCATGACCAACAATGTCGAATATCTTTTTATGTGCTCGTTGGCCATTCGTGTATCTTCTCTGAAGAAATGTCTATTCAACTCTTTGTTCATTTAAAAAATTAGGTTGTTTGCCTTTTTGTTGTTGAGTTATAAGAGTTCTTTATATATTCTGGATACTGGAATCCTTAATTTACAGGGTTCTGAAAAAATTGATTGTGACCATTTTTTTCTCCAGCTCTCTCATTGATTTTTTGGAATAGAAAATTTTCTGTGGTTTTTACTCCACCATTTTTATTGACATCACTCCTCACTTATTAATTTGTGTTGAGCATGATGGACATCTTTTATATTTCAAGTCCCAAAATGATCAACATTTCTGCCTTCCAGTAGCCCATGAAGTATTAAGAGACAAATTTAAAATAATTTAATTGCAATAATATGCTGTGGGCTCTGTGTCAGGGTTACATGCAAGGGAGACTGAACACACAGAAGAGAGAGCCATAGATTCCCTCTGGGTTGATGCTTGGGGCCAGCAAATCAGAATAGACTCAGAGTATCTATGATTCCATGCGGCATCTCTAGAAACGAATTCAAAGAGGCAGAATCTGGAAGTATGTATGTCTTTAGTACTGTACAAGGGCGAGGCATCCTGCTCAGCAAACAGGTTTTGGCAAAGCTGCCTAGCAGGTGTGCATCCCTATGGGGGTGGCTGCATCAGTCTGCAGACACCGTCCTTTATGACTTCTGTACATAGAGTTCTCTAAAGCAATAAGAAAGAAATGTTTATTTATATCTGTATACCTATGCAATGGATCTATATCTAAAATAAGAAATACTATGACTTTTTAAGAACACAAATAATTTATAAGAGAAGATGAAACAAATTTTTAGTTAACACGAAGAAATTTAATCTTACTATAGTTCACATATACTAGGGCCTCTGCCCAGCCCCCAAAAGCTTCTTTGTCTGACTTACCACATTGTAATGCGAGGAGGAGAGCTCTGCCCTGAAGGGGGTGGTGGGGCCCGAAGAAGCAGGGGCTCCATTTCCTCCGGACCCATTTCTGTGGGACTCCGAGAGTGTGCGTTCCCTTCTTGCATTTGGTACGTCCCCAGCTTTGTATTCAGCACAGTCATGTCCTTGCAAAAGTTCTGGAAAAAACAACAATCAACTAACATTTTTTCAATGTGATTCTAGATGTTTGCCAGTCTTAATACAGATGATGCAGAGTGCTTTTCCTGCAGAACTCCTCAGGGGCCCACACTGCAAATCACATGTGAGCCACTTGAGGAGGTCACTGGCAGGCGTACTCACCTGTTATTGATAGAAAGAGACACAATGACAGAGTAAGTTAGCACCATGGTATAAAATGAGCCAAAACCCACATGCTAATCTTTGCTGGGTTATTCATGTAGAAAGATAATTATCCTTGTCCTAAATTTATCTATTAAATTTGCTCATCTATGTAGAACATATTTATTGAGCAACTCTTACCAGGCACTGTTCTAGGATACAATAGCTAACAGAATAAACAAGGAATAGGCATTCTAGTGCATGTGTGTTCTTTAACAAACTAGACAAGGAATTCCATGTGTGTTTACAAAACCTAAACATATATATACACACACATTAGATACTATAAATCAAGATACATGCGAGCCCTGACCAGGTAGGTCAGTTGGTTAGAACGTCACCCCAATATGACAAAGTTGTGAGTACAATCCCCAGTCAGGGCACATACAAGAATCAACCAATGCATGCATAAATAAGTGGAACATCAAATCTATTGTTTCTCTCTCTTTCCCCCTCTTTCTCTTTCTCTCTCCTCCTCCCTTCTTCCTCTCTTTTTCTAAAATTCAATCAATTAAAATATTTTTTTAAAGGGATACATGCTAAAGAGAAAATAAATAAGGTGATGAGGCAGAGTAACTGAGGTTTGGTGGGGGACATCTATTCTAGAAAGTAGGATGATTAAGCACCTCTAAGCAGGTGACAGGTTAATTAATTTATTCATTGTTTCATTCACACGCATTCACAGAAATTGAGTCACTTTTCTGACGAAGGAAGGCTAGGGAAGGTCTGAAAGAGATAATATTTGAGCTGAGCCTTGAAGAATGGGTAATATGTATGCACAAAGGATAAGCTCCAGGTAGAGATGTGGAAGCAGCCCAGGGGTATGAGGGCTTGAGAGTACGCCAGACCCGTGAGAGGTTCTGCTGGCCCCGAGCAGAAGGCCAGGAGGGGGAGAAGACGGCAACAAGATTAGAAAAAGTTAAGTATGTGGTACATTCTTAAGTTCTTAGGAATCACCTCCGTATTTATACTAAAATCATTTTATAATTATTTGAACTTGGGTAACTGTGAAATCTTACCTCTATTCTTGCAACAAGTTTTTCCTTTAGTTCATGAGCTTCATTACAAGCGTCAGCCTGAAGAGGTATCACAATTTGGCATAAAATAGAAATTATATTTTTCTTGTTTATACAATAAAATCTCCCTCATTTTGATACCAGTTAGTGGTAAAGTGGCTTTAATCAAACTTGCTTTTACTCAGTAAAATCCTTGCTCTTAGAGCAAATTCATAGTGTAATCAAGATACATTATAAGAATAACCAAAAGATTAATAAAATTAATTTCAATGCTTTAAAAGTATAAATTTATACAACAGCTGTTTATAATAAATTATCTTTTTCTCTTTTTATTACTCTTTTCTTGCTCCTTAAAAACCATCCACGAGGCAAGAGAAACAGTGTGTGTTTCTAAAAAAAATAAACTTTTATATCTTTTAAACATTTTAAAATTTAGAATATAGACACGTAAGTCCTCATTATGTTAGTTTAAATAGTTGGGCCTTATGGCTTAGCAAAAGAGCCCTCCCTACACACTGTGTTCCCTCTTCCTTCCCACACCCCCTACCGGCTGTCAGGTAGAGATAACAGGTGGCTTTGGTTGGTTTCTGTCAGTAAGATCAAGAAACAGGATGAAAGTAAACCATCACCTTCCAAGACATGAATGCCAGTTGCACATATGTCTGGAGTAAAATGTTTTAAAGGTTTCAAATTAATCATCTCATAATAGATTTGCAGCATAACTTGAAAAGCAGAGTTAGAGTAGGAAGAACAGTGCTCTGGGATTCAAGAAAGACAGATTCTAGATAGAGGTGCCATTTCTAGACATTGATTTTAAAGAAGTATTTGCCAAGGCAAGCGAAGATATGAGTTTCTGAGGCATAGTTTGCAATGGCAAACATGAATTATAAAGCCCCAAATATCCAACAAAATGAATTTAATAAATCTAAGAATCATAACCTGCATTAAATAAACAGTGAAAAGGTAGAATGACATCTAGTTGAATACAATGTTTTAAAGAAAAAAATGCTAAATGAAAAAAGGCAAGTTGCAAAATAATATACATAACACCATTAAAATACAATATGTAAATATATGTATAAAAAGATTTGAAAGAATATGAGTATAATAAAATGTTCATCATGTTTATCTTTGGGGTTATTTTTCATTTTTTAATATGAAAAAGTTTAGGATGAATAAGTACGCATTACTTTTGTTAAAAGAAAAAATATATACATGTATTTATATGTTTAAAAGATATATTAAATATTTTATATATTATATATAAATGTATGCATGTATATACTATAATATATACCCGTGTTTATATTTTTAATGGGAGGGCAAGAACAAGACTGGTTCTTTTCATCTGGAAATATGGGCAAATCACTTCATATCTCTGAGTTACACTTTTCTCTTCTGACAATGAGGGCAAATGACAGCAACTTCCCTTCTAGGCCTACAATTCTATCTTTCATCAAATTTTAGATTTCATTCACTAAAATTCTCTAAACCTGCGGCTTCTGTGAAGTACTGTTTTTCTCCCTTAATTATAAAGCTATTTCATTCTTACCTGGACAAATTTGTTATCCATTTCTCCTAACTGCTTTTTAATTTCCATGATCTTCTCCTTTAAAACAAAGGGTATAAAACAAAAGTTGTGAAGAATAATGTATGGAATTAAAACAAAAAAAAAATGATGATTTTTAGAAGAAAGCTAATTCATGATCAAAAAGTTTGAGATTTAATAGCAGCTTTTTTTTTCCCTTTTACTGTTCTGGGTGCTGATCTCCAAAAATCAATGTTAATTTAAACCAACAGGATACTATTAGCCACAGCTGTGTAAGAGGCCACTGAGCTAGGCATTGTGCTGGTTGTATGCCAGTAATGAGTGTTTGCCCTCAAACAGCTATAGAGAATGTATATTGTACACCCTTCATTCATTACCAACCCCTGAATTGTGATATTTAATTATTTAGAAAAGAGTTAGGATAAGATAATCCTAGTTTACTGGTGCTCAGGTTTGTTTATAAAGAAAATGTCCTTACACGGTACTTACCAAAGATAACTGAGATTGGGAGTCAGCCTCAGAATGAAAGTCTAGATGTTCTAGTGGTGATTTCAGAAAGCTTCATGGACTTGGGGGCTTAATATCAGACAACACCCAAAAGCCACCACACAGGCCTTTTCTTCTCTTAAAGCTCTTTTACATTTGTTTGGGGGGCGTGCGTGCGTGCGTGCGTGCGTGTTTACGAAATTTCCCTCCTGCTCCCTTTATGGCTTGCCCAGTCATTTCATTTCTTCACGAGAAATAAAGGAGCCAGTTCATGTGATATTTTAAAACTTCATTAATTTATGTCTTCCTTAATTTTCCCATATCTGTTTCTAACAATGTTCATTTTCCCCTTCACTAGAGTAAACTTACAGCCATTCTTACTGACTTTGTAACTGTAACGATTATATTTAAAGTTTCTTATTCATTAAATTACTGCCTTTGCTTTTATGCAGGCTTTCTCATCAGCCATTAAATCTCTTGAGGACAGAATTTGTGTTATTTTTTTAAAGTCATCTTTATTGAGGTTATAATTTATATACAGTAAAATTTACCTTTAAAAGTGTACAATTCCATGAATTTTGACAAATGCATACTGTCATATAATCACCACACAACAAGGTAGGGGATATTTCTACTGTGCCCAAAATTCTCTGTGCCCTTTTGTCAACATCCTCCTCCGTTTACCCACTTGACTCTAGCACCCACTAACCTACTTTCTGTTCCCATTGTTTGCCTTTTTCAGAATGTTACTTAAATGGAATCACGAAGCATGTACTCTTCTAAGCCTGGCTTCTTTCACTGCGCACAATGCATTTGAGATTCATTCATGTTGTTGGATGACTAAAAAGGCCATTCCTCTTTATTGCGGAGTAGTATTCCATTATACAACCTGTGTTACAATTTATCCACACATCAATTGATGGATATTTGGGATGCTTTTAATTTCTAAGTTTGTGTCTATTTTTTTTAAAAAGTATATACTCCACTGTGTAACTCCAGAGAGATTCTCCATACACATTTGTGATGTCTTTCTCTTTCATACTATCCCAAGCCCTTATTGGTTTGTTTTTTAATCTCACTTTCATTTATTTTTGTGCTTTTCTATCTTTGCCCTCACTCTTTTAACATTTCATCCCTCCCTAGCCCTAACTCCTGCTGAAATCTACATTCCTGTAGTACAGCTGACTTTTGGAGGGAATTTTCTAAGGCAGAATATCTCTTGACCTTTGTCCTCTTCCCTCTTTTCATAATTCACAATTTCCAAAGCTCAAGGATAGTGGAAAATACTCTTAACTTTTCAACTAGCACAAAAAGAGGTTGCTAACTTTAAAACGTTGGACCGTGTCACGATTAAAAGGAATTTTTTCCGTGTTAATAAATCTGTGTTGTTCTGTGGATGGCTTTTAATATGTGAGGGGTCTAAATAGTGTTTCTTTTCTACAATAAAAGAGATATTTCTCTGTGCTCACTTCAGCAGCTCATGTACCATAATTGGAGCGCTCCAGAGATTAGCATGGCCCCTGTGCAAAGAAGACACACAAAAAAGATATTTCTCCTTTACTTCTTCCCAAATCCATTTAATTTGAACTCTATGGCTTAAGCTAAAGCAGAGGCTGGAAATTTCTAGCAACATTCTATGACTCTTTTTAAAGGGAAAAATTAAACCTATTTCAGAAAAGAGTCTCTAAGAAATATAAGAAGACTAAACAATAGGAAACCTTTGGTGATAGTGAAAACCAACACAAGAACTCTTCATGGAAACAAAGACAGATACAAATATATCTCTTACATTCTTCATTAGTATTCATTTCCTGCTTTCTTTGTGCTGTTTGGCACTGGGATACAAAGATGAAGAGTTTTCTCTTAAGTTACTTATCATTATTTTAAGATGGCATCAAGATATATACCTATCAAATTTGTCTGAATGATTTTCTAGGTAGAATTAAAAAGTCTAGGCTTTTTATGTCAGCAGAAAATAGAAGTGGTGGCACCCAGGTGAAAGACACTCAGAACTGACCACCAGATCACCTTTCTACCTGTGACAAAAGATGTGTTTTAATTCTCTTATGTATTTATTTATTTATTTATTTTATTGATGTTCACATACAGTTTTCTCCATTTCCCCCCCGCAACTCCCCCCGCCCTTCCCATTCCCCCCCGCAATTCGATCCTACCCACTTTCGGCTTTGTCTATGAGTCCTCTATACCTGTTTCTTGATGACCCTTCCCCTTTTCCCCCTTGTAACCCCCCCTCCTCTGGTCACTGTCAGTCTGTTCTTTATTTCAATGTCTCTGGTTATATTTGGGTTTTAATTCCTGCTGTGACCTGTTCAACAACACAAGCTGTGTCAGAGTCCCCACAACCTCCTAGATTGTCCTTTCCAAGCCTCCAGCTTACCTCGATGTTTGCCCCCCGATCAGGGTCAAGGTCCTGGTGTGACTCCAACTTTTCTACTTGGCCCTCCAAGGACGTCACCTCATTTAATAAGCTGCAAAGAGACCAAAGGATGGGCTAAGTCTGTGGATTAAGAAAAATCACCTAATGGACAGTCTTTTTAGAAAGATCATTTTAATCTTAAAGAAAATGAAATCCTTTTCCTCTATCAGAAGACTCTTGGGTAGTGATTGTGTTGGCTAGTGAATGGGAAGACACAAACGCAATTCAAAAAAGTAAAGAAAAAAACAAAAAACTCTAAATAATTTAGACAATAGTAAAGAAGTGTAAGAGCTACTAATTTTCTGCTTCAATGTCAGAAAATTAAAATGATTAAAATAGAAGCTTAGTTAAATTTCTAGAAAATAAACACAGAAAATCTTTGGGACCTATGATTAGGCAAAGAGATCTTAGACTTAACACCAATAGCACTACCTATAAGAGGGAACACTGGTAAAGTGGGACTCATTAAAACTTAAAACTTCTGGTTGGCCAATGACTCTGAAATGGATTTTCATGTTACATATCTGGCAAAAGTCTTATACCTAGGATGTATGAAAACCTTTCAAAACTCAACATTAAAAAACTCTCCAATTAGAAAATGAACAAAAGACATGCACAGAAATTTCATGAAGAAAATATATAGATGGTAAATAAACACTTGATAGGATGGATGTTCAACATCAATAGCCATTTGAGCTTTGCAAATTAAAAACACAATGAGATATCACTGCATGTGTAACATCATATAGCTAAGGTGAAAAACAGTTTTAACACCAAATTGTAGTGAGGTTGAGAATGTGGAGAAATCGGATCACTCATACATTGGTGGTAGGAATGTAAAATGGTACAGCCACTCTGGAAAATAATTTGGCAGTTCCTGTCAAAACTAAACTAAAAGCAGACTTACCATATGACCCAGTGATTTCACTCTTGAACAACTGAGAAATTAAGACTTATTTTCACATAGGAAGTTGTACATGAATGTTCAAAGCAGCTTTTTCATAATAGCCCAAAACTAGAAATTGTATTAGTTGTCCTTTGGTGGAGAAATGGTTAGCCAAACTATATATATATATATATATATCTCCATACTGTGGATTACTACTCAATAAAGGAAGGAACTATTGAAACATATTGAAACATGCAACGACTTGGGTGAACCTCAGGGAAATTATGCTAAGTGAAAAAACCAATCTCAAAAGGATACATATTGCATGATTTGATTTATGTAATATTCATGAAATAACATAATTAAACAGATTTGTTGGTGTCAGGGGTTAGAGATGGGTGAGAGGGAATGAATGGTTTTGTCAATAAAGAGGTAGCACAAAGATAAACATCTTACCACAGCGTTGTGGGGAAAGGATTGAGCAGAAAGGAAAAAGGACTCATGGGCATGAACAACAGTGTGGTGATTGCTGGGGGGAGGGGGCTATAAGGGGACTAAAAGGTAATGTAAAAAAAACCACAATAAAAATTAAATTAAAAAAAAATCTTACCACAGTGAAATCTCTAGGCAATATAGCTTCCTGGTGAGTTCCACAAAACTTTTAAGGAACAAATTATGCCACTTCTACAGAAACTCATCCATAAAACAAGTCGGAAAACATCCCATTTTTTTCTATGAGGTATTATTTTTATACTAACACTACACATTACAAGAAAAAATAACATAGGCTAATATCTCTCATTAACATACATAAAAAATTCTACTTTACTAAACTGAATCCAACAATATATAAAAAGGATAATATATTATGACCAAGTGGGGCTTATTCTGGGAATTCAAGGCTGGTTCAGCTTTCAAAAATTAGCCAAATAAATTACTATGTCAAGAGACCATATAAACAAATTTAAAAAATAATGATTCATAAATACATCGGAAACTATTTAAAAATTCAGATCATTCTGATATTGAAAACATCTCAGTAAACTAGAAATATAAGAAATGTTCTCAATATGAGAAAGGGCATCTTAAAAAAAACAAACAAACCAGGTAACATCACACTTAATACTTTTCCCGTAAGACTGAGAATAAGGTATGTCCACTGTCTGCCATTCCACCTATTCAACATTGTACGAGAGATTCTAGCTCATACAATTAAAAAAGAAGTAAAAGGCATACAGATTGGAAAGGACGATAAAAAACTGTTTCCACTTGCAGATGATATAGTTATCTATGTGGAAAATCCAAATAACCTACAAAAACTACTGAAGCTTACAAATGAGTTTAAGGGGGTCACAAGTACAAGGTCAATATACAAAAATCAACTTTATTTTTATATAATAGCAGTTAATAATTAGAATTTGAAATTTTTAAAGTATCATTTATGATAGTACCAAAAACATGAAACACATAGGCATAAATCTTTCAAAATCTAAGATATTTGTACACTGGACACTATACAACACTGATAGAAGGAATCAAAGACCTAACTAGAGATATTATACTCCATTCATGAATTGAAGGAGTCAATATTACTAAAATATTAATTATTCCCAAATTTACCTGTACATTAATGGTAATTCTTATAAAAATCACAGCAGAGTTGACAAACTGATTCTAAAATCTACACGGAAAGCAAAAAAAGAAAAGAAAATGAAAAAGAAAATTCAAATAATTGAAAATTTGTGTGACTTTTCATAGTGTCTTTATTCATAATTGCCAAAAAACCTAAATGTGCTGCAATTAGTGAATGGATAAACTGTGGTATATTTACATAATGGAATACTATCTGACAACGAAAAGGAACAAACTACTGATGACACGTGACAACATGGGTGACTCTGAATGTATTAGAGGCTAAGGGAAAGAAGGGAGACTCACATGGTTACGCATGCCTAATTCCATTTCTGTGACAGACCGGAAAAGGCAAAACTGTTGGCACAGAGAGCAGATCAGTGGTCGCCAGCAGCTGAGCCCGGGGACAGTGGCTGACTACAAAAGGGCGTGAGGGATTTGGTGAATGATGCAAGTGTTCTTCATCTTCAGTGTGGTGGCTGTCCAACTAGGAACATTTTTCAAAACTTGCAGAATCGTACAATTAAAAAACGGGGCTTTACTGTACGTAAACTGTGCTTTGATTTTTGAAATAGGAAGACAATTTAACGTACAGGATTTGAATGAAAACCACAGGCTCTTCTAAAAAGCAAATATTTATGCTTTGGAAGAAACAAAAGAGCTCTTTTGGATAGGATGGTCAGGAGAAGGCTGCTGGGAAGAGATGTTTGACTGAGAGGCATGGTGGCGTTTACCTCCACGTGAAGGTATTTAACGGAGAGGTGAGAGAACGTCCAGGAGAAAAGTAGCCCTGCCGCAGGGAAGGGCTCGGATTGCGGCGGGCTGCTTCGCAAGGCTAGAAGGATTTATTTCTAAGAACAGCTTGCATTTATTGTTCATTTTGTACCATTGTATTAAATTCCTTACCTACAGAAGATTATTTAATTCCCAGAAGACACCAGGGAGGTGGTTGTCATTAGTCCTTTCTTTTACATGACATAAAAGTCAAGATTTAGAAAACGTTGATTAACTTATCCAAGAAATGCCAATGCCAAGGTTCAAGCCTGGGTCCCTCTGATTCCAAAGCCCATTCTCTGTATACCCGTGATTAGACAGATACAATTTGATTTTTTCTGCTTCATCTTAAAACTTTGCATTTACATTCAGAGGTCCATTAAACAAATATACTTTAATCTTTTTTCAATGTCAAATTGGTTCGATCCTTTTAAATAATACTGGATAAACCTCAAGGGTCATTGGGGACCTGAAGACCTCCCTTTGACATCTATTAAAATGGCATCAGAAAAAGAACTTATAAGAGAAATTGATTCTCTTACGAGAGAAAAGATGCATATAACCTGGATGTAGGCTTTGAGATTTTGTGATATTAACTTTTCTTTTTTATTTTAGAGAAAGCAATACATTTTAATTTTTAGTTTATTGTTTTTATTGAATTTAGGGGATTACATTGGTTAATAAAATAATAGAGGCTTCCGGTGTACAATTCTGTAATCACTGTCTGTACACTGTACTGTGTGCGCGCCGCCCGGAGTCGTCTCCTTCCATCGCCATTTAGTCTCCCTTCGCCCTCTTCTCCCTCCGTCCCCCACCCCCCTTTCGCTCTGGGAATCACCATGCTCTTGTCTATATTCCTGAGTTCTTGTTTTGTTTTGTTTTTTGCTTAATCCCTTCACATTTTCACCCAGCCCCCAACACACCTCCACTCGGACAGCTGTCCGTCTGTTCTGTGTATCTATGTGTCTGTTTGTATTTTGTTTGTTAGTTTATTTTGTTCTTTAGAGTCCACGTATAAACGAAATACGGTACTTGTTTTTCTCTGACTGGCTTATTTGACATAGCGTAACATTCTCCAGGTCCATTCATGCTGTCACGCAAGGCGAGATCGCCTTTTTTTAAACACAGCTGAACAACATCCCATTGTAATGTACTACAGCTTTTTTAACCACTTACCTACTGATGAGCACTTAGGTTGCTTCCAAATCTTGGCTGTAGTAAATAACACTGCAATGAACACAGGGGTGCTTATAGTCTTTCAAATTACTGTTTTGGGTTTTGTTGGATATGTTACCAGAAGTGAAATCGCTGGGTGATAAGGCAGGTCCAGTTTTAATTTTTTGAGGGACCTCCACGTTGCTTCCCACAGTGGCAGCACCAGTCTTCACTCCCACCAGCAGTGCACAAGGCTCCCCTTTTCTTCACATGCTCCTCAGAGCCTGTTTGTTGATTTACTGATGGTAGCCATTCTGACAGGTGTGACACGAACTTCTAATCATAAGACTTTATACTTCTTGACCTAAAGACTTTCCTAAAGTCTTTACCACCTTAAACCCAGAGTTCCTAAAGTTTATGAGGCTATGAAAATTTTAGTTATTTTCTGACCAACCCCAGCACTTTACAATTACCTCTTCACTGTGTTTTCTGTGAGGTTTATTTTTTGTATAATATTGTTAATTTTCTTCATCCAGCCCATGTGATCAGCTCCAAGTTCTTTCACTTGTAGGCCCATCTGTGTATTCCAGTGGTGTAGCTGAAAAAACATGTTCTCCTGACTCCTGCAGAAATATTATTATGATCAGTTTTAAGGTAGACAGGAAACATCTCACGTGGCCCCAAACCCTCTTCCTTTGAATGGCAAGTTGGTTTGCTTACTCGTCTTCTGTCACCAGAATAGGACAGATAGGCAGTTAGGCCTCAAGAAAGAAATTTGGGGATTCATTTGATATCCATTTTAACAGATCTTTGCAAGGCTAGAGAAAATAAACCATTTTAAATTTAGTAAAAAATAGATATATTTTTAATTTTCCTGCATAGAGTGAATGTTAAGTATTGATTTCAGGACAGGGGGGGCATTTTAGGGGGATGGAGAGGTATACAATAGGAAAAAGGTCTACAGAGCCTAGTAATATTTTTTAATGTAATTATAATAATATTTATCATATTTAGGAGATTATCTGAGAGTGAACGGTTCTGCCTATATCCTTAGAAATGTCCTTACTCTGCATTCTTGCTGGCACTTGTAGAAAGGTACTTGTGCACGTGAGTGCTTCATGGTTCAATTCATGTACGGATTTTAAATCTTCCGGGCTTTCCCTAAGTTCTCTGCTACATTTCATTTTCCCCTCCACAAAACATCATTACAAGTTCCCTCTTGCATGTGTCAAGGCTTACAGCTCAGGGACGTTCTCTGACAATGGCAAAGATGTGGACTCTTGAGGATCCTCACATTGAACACGACGTGTTTCTTGCTCATCCTGTTCACGCCGTGAGGCCTGGTCATGCTCAGCCTCCAGCTCCAGCATACCCTGACAGTGACCATGAGAGAAACAAAGCAGAGCAAAAAGGCTATTACAAGAGGTGCTGGTGGGCCCTCTAGCCTACCCATGGCCCCTTTCTGGGGGCAAGCACACAGCCCTCTCTGAGGCCGGAGCCTTCTGGCTCATTTGTAAGATGAGCAGACATGTTCTCCTGCTCCATTGACAAAGGAAGGACACCAAGGTCCCCTACACAGAGCTCTTTTCAGTGCTGATGAGAACTAGAACTCCATTTGTCCATGGACTCTAGCACTCCACTGAAATAAAATGACTGGTCTCTTCAAAAAAGTCAGCATCAAGAGAAAGAAAAAGGGGATGGGACCGCTCTATGTTAAGAGAGTCTAAAGAGATACAATGACCAAATGCATTGCATAAATCTTGTTTGGATGCTGGTTTAAAAAAATACAGCCAGGCCTTGGCCAGTGTGGCTCATTTGGTGGGAGCATCATCCCCATACACCAAAATGTTGGAGGTTTGATTCCTGGTCAGGGCACGTACCTAGGTGGCAGGCTTAATTCCCAGTTGGGGCACAACTTTATGGGAGGCAACCAATTGATGTTTCCCTTTCTCTCTCTCCCCCTTTCTCTCTCTAAAATCAATAAACATATTTAAATTTTTTTTCAAAAAAGCATACAGCCAGAAAAGACATTTGGAGGTTCATTGAGAAAATTAGAATATTGAGAGAATTGAGAATATTAGATTATTTTATAGAATTATTGCTAATTTTTCTAACGCAGTAATGGTCTTTTGGTTATGTAGAAGAAAGCTTTTTTAGAGATGCTGTATGAAGTAAACAAGGATGAAGTGTCATGCTGTCTTAGACCTGCTTTTAAATGGTTCAGAATATTCCATGTATTTACAAAGATAAAGATGATGTGACTGATGGCAACAATTTTAAAATACAAACGTAAGAATATGAGTAATCATTATATAATTCTTTTAACTTTCTTTTTATAATAAAGAGTTTGGAGGGAAAAGCCTACTCTGTAAATCTGACCTACAAAATTTCTTTCTTTGTTTCTTTATTCCTTGCCTTGTTCTAGAAAAACATGCAAGGCATTTTCTGATATTTCAAGTCTGTGCATCACACAATTGACAATGATTTATCTCTGAACATTTCTCATCTTTAGTAACCATGTTGTGAAATATTTCTCCTTCCCTTTGAAGAAATTTGGTCTAAAATTCTTGTGTTTCAGCAAAACTATTTTTAAACTGAAAGGAGGAAAAGTTGGAGTCAGGAGAACAGGTCAATCTCTTGTTGCAATCTCTGTATAAATTACTGGCCAAGTCAGTAGGAATAACTAACATTCACATAACTCTTTAGAAATTTTTTTCCTGTGCACTATTCCTCTTAGTTCTCAGAGGTGGGTAGAGGTCGGTATTGAAACCCCTTTGCGTATTCCCATGTTGTGATTTGCCCAAGCCCGTGTGGTACAGTAGGTTAAGTGGTCACCTCAAAAAGATACATCTATGTCCTAATATGAAGACCCTGGGAATGTGACCCTAGTTCAAAAAAGTGTCTTTGCAGATGCAATCAAGTTAAGGATCTTGAGATGAGATAATTTTGGATTACTTGGGTGGGCTCTAAATTCAAAGACAAGTGCCCTAATGAGAGGCAGAAGAAAGCGCACACACACAGAGGAGGAGGTCGTGTGAAAACAGGCAGCCACAAGCCAAGGAGTGCCTGGAGCCACCAAAGGCTGGGAGACGCAAGGAAGGGTTCTCCCCCTGGAGCCTTCAGGGGGAGCGCGACCCCACTGACCCCTTGGTTTCAGAACTCTGGGCTCCAGAACTCTGAGAGAATACACTTTTTTGCTGTGGAAATTTGTTACAGCAACCAAGGAAAGCCGATACATATGGCTAGTAGGTGTATGGCTAGAACTGGAACTCGTTTTTCTGATTCCAAGACCATGGCTGGTTTCATCATATCCAGGCTTTGGATTCAGATTAAGAAATATCTAGTCCTTACAACTGTCACTTTCACAGCCAATGGGTGCCTCACCAGTGATACAAGGATTATTGTCATATTTATAGATGAAGAAACCAAGGCTAAATTTTCCAACTGTTATATGACTCCACTATACTTAACTACCTCCTCATGAAAAAAACAAAGCATCCATAATTTCAATTTCTTCCTACAAAACCTTTTGACAAGGTAGCCCAAGCAGCAGAAACACTGCAATGTAGAGAAGGATTGGAGATTGGGGGACTTAATTCTCAGCTTTGTTCTACTGTTGTGGGTGCTGAACCCCCTTCTAACCACTCTAATGCTGTTTCCAGTTCTAAAATAAGAAAATTGGACCGGATCATCTCTAGGGTTCTATATCCAATAATTTATGATGACATTTCTTGTTTTCATCAACAAACCCACTTGGATGGTTAATGTAACACAAAAGAGTCCAAGGGCAGGAAATAGAAATAAAAGGTCTTTACAAATCTGCAGGACTGAACACGTAAAAAGTTGGATGTGTATGTTTTTAATAAGAGACTAAAAGTGTGCTGCATGAAATACACATCCTGAGGGGCCTTGCTCTCTATTTGTGTGTAGCTCTTTGAAGAGCTTATACAACGTCTCAATTTAGATATTCCATAGGCACTTCAAGTTCAGCAAGCAAAAAAAATGAACTCTTGTCCCCTCTACCTTGTCCAGGTTCCGCATCCTTGCATATGGTCTCCCTATCCATCCAGATGCCTCTAATAGAACCCCAAAGAGGTTCTTGAGTTTTCAAGGAAGACATTCTTTTCCCTCTTTATTACCCATGTCATACCCACTTGGAGCCCAAGCCTAAGAATACCTATCTTTTGAATGTGTCGTTTTTCACACATCATCATGGCGTCTCTGCTGCCAGTCAGTGCCTTACATCCGTCTTTATCGACGCTTGGCTTTTACTGGGTCCTCGCTTCCTGTCTGCATCCTGCACTATTTCCACACCTTCGTGTCCTGCTTGCCTGCTTGCCCCTCATAGCTTTTCTTCACCCTTCCTCTCGCAGGACACAATTTCTCTCTGGCCCCTTTGTCTTTGCATGTGCTGTCCCATCTCTCTGAAATGCTCTACCCCCATCCAGCGTTTCCTTCAAATCTCAGTTGGGAACTTGACAACTGAGTCCTGCAGCTCAGACCCTATGCGGCTCTTGCCGTGACTTTGCCACACATCTGCTCCTCCTAGCATGCATTTGTCACACATGGTTCTTTCCTGGTCTGAGTCCCCCCTAGTGTGAGTGCTCACTGAGGGCAAAGGAGGTATATGTATATATATGGATATGTATGAAAAAAATACATATATATCCATATATATACCCACCCCCTGCACTTCACAATGCCTAGCTATAATGCATGCTCAATAAGAGGCTTTGGAATAAACAGACTCCAGAAGTAGGCAAATACATTTTGCTTGTGAGAGATGTAGACAAAAGCAGGAAATAGGAAAGTCTGTTCACTCACTTGGCATCCAAAATCCACGCTGCATAGAACAGTAAAAGGGGTCAGGAAATGCAAGAGCAGAGCAAAGTAGTACTCATTTCTGAATATTTGGCGGGGTTTTGATGGTGAGATAAGACAGCTTTGGTAGTCTGGCTAAAGTTGATTTTATTAATTAAGCCAACAATTGATTTTTTAAACTTCAATTAACTTTGTTCATGTTCTGAACTTTTTCTTTAAATATTATGATCCTCCCTTATAAAAACAAAAATGCATATTTTTTGAATCCTCGAATGGAAATATTAGCAAACAATGCAAAATAGCCAGGCTAGGGAGTTGGGAACCTTCATTTGTATAATCTCTTTCTGATTAATATATATATATGCACATTGTAAAAAATAGAAAATGCCAAAGAAGAAAATAAAAATCACTGGTACTCCAGGGCTAACTACAGAGACCCCAGGAAAAGCACAGACAAAACCACTGTTAATATTTTGGTATATAGCTTTCCATTTTTAAATTCTATGTTTTTTTTTTAATTCTGTAACTATTGTTGACAATTAGGTTTTTTCTAATTTTTCACTATTATGAATAATGCAGTAATGAATATCCTTATTCAGTCATTTTCAGTGCATCTCTAGTTAGGACTCTTCCCTGTCCCGAGGAAGTGAAACTACTGGCAATATAGTATACAGATTTTGAAGAATTTAGGAAAACAGCCCCAAATTACTCTTCTAAACGTTTAACCCGTCTGCACTGTCAGCAGCGGGTGGAGAGCAGGAACTTTCGCTCCAGCCTGGGAGGCAAGTGTAGCTGGAAAGCCAAGGAGGGAACGTGAGCGTCCTTCCGCGGTGAGAAAAATTAAAGGGAATGGGAACAGGAAAGGAGGAGGAGAGGTGTGGGCCAAGTTCTAGGAAGTTCATATAAAAGATTGTAAAAAAAGAATATGAAATGTAACTCCTGGTTCTTGACGGAAATCAGGATTATACCCCCCACCGACCAGGAAGAAACCTCTCCTCTGACTACTCGAAAGAGTGACACTAGTAAAGTGGCCTAGAATAGGGGAGTAGCTGGGCGTCCAAAGACCCTGAGACAGAGCCCTGAGGGTCAGAGGGGATTGTGGGCCAATGGGAAAGGAAGTGATATTGTGCAGGAAAGGTAATTTATAGCCGGGATTTATAGCCGGGAGAGAGGCATAGGGAACCACAGAGATACTGGAACCTTTCAGGTCACCAAGGGCCTGGTCTATCACTCTGGCAAAACAGAGATTTGTCCTGGACCAATGTAAGGATCCACAGTGGCTGAGGTGCAAAGGGGACCTCTGTGAAGGAGAAGCAAAGGAAAAAGCCTAGAACCTCTGATACAAGATAGCTGCATCCTTATTAGCTTGGAGCTTCACAAAGAATAAGCTGTTGGTCTCTTTCAGGGAGGACACTGGGACCTGCCCAGTTTCATCACAGCCCCTATCGGGACAGTTCTACCTGTTTCCTGAAGGTGTTGAGCGTTACGAAGGCAATTCCAAGCTCTGACTGATGAATGACCACTGAGATCTGCCTGGTTTCATACTTCTATTCTGTTCAAAAATTAGAATACTGTACAAATAATAAGATGCCCTTATTTTGATAACTGACATCCCAGTAGCTTCCATCAGGCAATTTAAAAGAAAATACGATTCTCTTAATCCAGGAACCCACACAAATTCTGTCTCCATACATTTTCTCACATCTCAAGTAACAGTTAGACTCCTACCAATGGCTTGTGTTAGTGTAGCTCCTAATAGATTACCAAGGGCTTTCCACATATTTCCTTAGTAAGTTCCCACAGCAACACAGGGAGGAAGGTATTGTTGTCCCCATTTTATATTTGCACTAATCTAGGAGATGGTGTGATTTGCTTAAAGTCATATAGCTGGTCAATGAGCAAAGCCAGGACTCAGAACTTCCATGCCCTGACAACTACTTGTAAGAGATTTCTCCCCCACCCCCAAAGAAGGTTTAGACCAGGGCTCTCCAATAAACCTTTCTGTGATGATGGAAATGTTCTCTGCACTCTTCGATATACCAGGCATAGCCACATGTATCTACTGAGCACTTGAGATGTGGTTAATGCAACTGAGGAACTGAATTTTTAATTTAGGTTTAAATTTAGATAGCCACCATATTGGACAAGTCACAATTTTCCAGACCAGAAATCAGCAAACTAGAGCCCACAGGCCAAATTTGTCCTGCCACCTGTTTCTGTAAATGCCATGTTTTTGGGACACAGCCACACCCATTCCTTTACATATTGTCTACCATTGCTTTTGTCATGCGGGAACAGGGCTGAGTAGTTGCACAAGACCTAAATTTGGAATACAAAGCCTAAAATATTTACTACCTGGCATGCAAAGCCTGAAATATTTAATATCTTGCCCTTTACAGAAACAGTCAGCTGACTCCTATTCTAAACATCACCTTCTTCTGTGATGCTGAGTGTTCATCCCAATGAGTCAACTGAATACACTGAACAAGAGCTTGAGTTTTGGAGAGTCAAGGTTTTTTTGTTTTTGTTTTTGTTTTTTCTTTAATTCTCACCCAAGGACATTTTTTCATTGCTTTTAGAGAGAGAGAACCATCGATTGGTTGGTTGTCTCCTGCACATACCCTGACCAGGGGTCGAACCCTCAACCGTTCAGTGTATGGGACGATGCTCCAACTAACTGAGCCATATCAGCCAGGGATCACCTAAGCATAATCTTAATGTTCTAAGTCTTACTTTCATCATTTGTAAAATGTGGCTAACATTGTACTGCTAATATTATTAGAGTTGTGAAGAATAAACCAAATAATCCTTGTTGTGTTTAACACAGTGTCAGATGGATGCAAACACTTGGCAATGCTATCTAATAAAGTAAAAACAGTGGAAAGGGGAGCTGTTAGTAAGATTTCTTTAGCTTAAAATATAATAAATAATAATACTAATACTTGTTATACAGGTACAGCACCTTCAGTTTATAAAAGACGTTTACTGAGTTGCTTCGTTTGACCCTCACACCCACCCTGTGTGGCAGGCAGCCCAGGCAGATCTTGCTGCCTCCATTCTTTTAGATGAGGAAACTGACACTCAGATGGTCCATGATTTGCCCAAAGTTTTATTGCTAGAAAACAATAGAATCAGGATTTAAACCTGCAAATTCTGGCTGCCGGTTTTACAATCATCCTACTGGTACATGTACATTTTATACCCAGTATGTTGTAATGGATTGTTTCATAGCCCTCTTACCTTGAAAACACACCATCTTTTAAAGCTAACTTCAGAGCAGTTATGTAACGTAGGTCCTTGCTACTCAACGTATGGCCTGCACACCAACCGCAGCCTCACCTGGAAACTGACTAAACACACAGGATCTCAGGCCCCATTGAACCAGCCTCAGCATTTTCACAAGATCCTGGGTGACTCATTTACATATTAAAGTTTAGAAGTACTTGCACTCTAGATCTTATAAACCAGCATCTCTCTTCTCCCTACACCCCGTGTCTTCATTCCCGTATGTTTACACCACTGGCGTCCAGAACGACTTGGTAAAACTGGAGTGAATTCCTCCTCCTTCCCCCCACTCCATCAAATCCTTTACCATTACAAATTTGGAGAAGCATTAGTCAGAAAGAACTAGTCAACTATTTTAAAAGACAGCTGATGAAAATCTCTAACTTACATTTTGTGGGACTTTTCTCCAGGCCAGACCACACAGATCACCCCCTTCAATACCTGATCGCTGTGCAATTGGGGAATCTCAGGAATTTTAAAGCATGGTTCCTCTGAGCAAGGACTTGGTGCCACCGTAGGCTCCTGGCAAGGTCACACTGAGATGGTACAGCTGTGAAATAGTGTATATACCTGGTAATATCCTTGCTCTTCTCAGTTGGGGAATAACAAATACCTCTGAATTCAGTAAGGTAGACTGGCAATAGTCAAGTTTCTCTAGAAAGTTCTGGTGATGCCAGATTCTTCTTTTCCCAGACCCAAAGGTAGAGAAGAGGCCATTTATGAATGGTACGCAGCTAGGCGGGTAAGTTTGCAGTTGGACTTGCCTTCATTGACATTCCGCTTGGAATGTGGCACATGCGACCCTTCAACCCCTCTGGCAGGGTTCCAGGGAGACAGTGCGCTCCTGCTTCCCCTTTAACTTGCATCTCCAGGCCATCCCCCAGCTTCCTGGCCAATTCTTTGAAAACTAAGTCCTTCCCACCCCAGCCCTCTGTCCATCCATCTAGAGCCTCGGGGCCGGATGCTCTGGGACGCTCTGGGATGCTCTTCCAACCTCAGCTGCTTGTGCCGTGCCTGCCCCTTTCACCTCCCTGCCAGAACTAAGCCCCTGAGACTTTCTACTATGGAGGACAGGACTTCTCTTGCCCCTTCCCCACTGAGCAGGCACAAAAGGCAGCCGCTGATCTTGCCCGCCAGAGCAGCTCCTACTTTACGGCTCTGTCACCTACTCAGCTTTGAAGTCCACACTTCCCTCTCATCACCCTCCGCAACCCACTCCTACTTTGCCCAGGGCCCCAGGGCCAAGATCACATTTCTCCCCGCGCCTCAGGTTCTCCCATCATTCGGCACTCATGAGAAGGGCCTAACAGTCTGACCTTCCAGGTCCTAAGTCCCTCAACCCCTAGGCTTTCCTCTTCACCTACCAACATTATTCAGCAGCACAGAGATGAAATACAGAACAGATTTTATAAGCATAAACTTTAAAATTAGAGCGCTGTTTGAAACCTGGTTTTGTCATTCATTAGCTATTTGGTTTGGGGCAAAGTTTAATTTCTTTGAAGAGTGAGTTTGAAAATACCTAACTAATTGGTTCGTTGAGGAGATAAAGGCAGTAACAAGAGGAAGGAGTTTAGGTCAAGCTTCTGCTAGAATGCAGGCTCCTTGAGGACAGGGATGTGGTGTGTTTTGTTAACTGCTGTATCCCCAGCACCAGAGAAATGGCTGGCACATAGTAGGTGCTCAAAACAATTATTTTTGTCAAAGGAATTGAATTAATGCCTAGATGGTAACCATGGTTTTTATGGCAACATTTTAGACTTGTCATTATGCTGAATATTTCCTCAGCTAAGCACTCAAACTCAGATGTCTCACTTTTGTTCTTCTGATGTTTACTGCACTCCCTCCCTAGTTAGGAGTCCAGACTCTCTCACTTTGTGACCTCTCTCAGTGCTTGCTGGGCCAGTCCTCAGCCTTGGGTTCAGATCTTGTATCATGACTGTGAGCCTACCTTTGGCTGTCCCGTGTTCCTTTCAGAAAAATCTCAAGATTCCACTACAACTGCAATAACAACAACAGCTAACGTTTACTGTGTGCTTACCAACGTGCCAGGCACTCTCTTAAGTGTTTTACAAATATTACCTAATTTAATTTCTACCACCTTTTAGAAAGGGAAGGATCTGGGATTCAAACCCAAACCTGATTAGACTGACTCCAGGGACCATGCCCTGAAGCACCGTGGTATCGACTACGCTTTGCATTGGGCCCTCACTCTTATTCAGCATAACTTTATGCATCTCTTGTTGACTCCAAATATATGTGCCCCAAGAGCTGTTTTCTGTCTTGCTCGGTGCCTTTTCCATCTGCCCGCTCCCAAATGCTGCTGGCTCCCTCCGAGAGCAGTGAGCAGGCTCCCGCATCACTGAGCTGACCGAGGCCACCTCATGGGAGCCTTTCCACAGCCTAATAGCTCGTCTGTGTAGCCTCTTGTCCGTTCAGAACACCCTTGTGTTTTCCTCCTCCTCTCCCACTGCCCTTCTAGCTCAGAGGAAGTATTTTTCCTCTCTGTCCTCAGGTTGCCATGATTCAGACCTTTGTTTATTCTTTGGGATTATATTCCATTAACTGTCATTGCTCTCGCCATGTGAAATACTGTTTTGCATGCCCCTTTTGGCATTCCATGAAGGAGCTCACAATTTCTTTGAGGAACAAGACATAAAGGTACATTTCTTCATCTTCAAGCTCTGCCTTTACATGGTCCCTTTGCTTCTGTGTGTGAACCTGCCCATTTTCCCTCTTGTAGAAAGGAAAAAAAAATCCTTTGCTTTGTGTATTTGAGCGACCATCTTACCTTTTTCTTTTTTTAACAAAAATGTCTCAAAATTTCAGAGACTATAGATGCCATTTCTGTTGCTCATTACATATTCTTATTCTAAATGCTTTCAGTATGGCATCCTGATTGCAAAGTTTTTTTTTTAATTTTTGTATTTTAGGAGCCTCTAATCATCTCATTTCTTCGGCAGCGTGGAAATAGTACACTTTGTTTCTCACACTTGTCTGACCCACAATCTATTCCTGCGCTCTCAGCACTGTTTCATGAGGCACATTCTGGGAAGCCCTGTGTCAGGATTACTGTGAAGTTCCAGGCACAGGGGAAGCTCACAGAAACAGCGGCAATCACAGTCCTGGGGCATCCCCGTTGCCCCGCCCTGGATTTTGCGACCCTGAGAGCTTTCCTGAACCCCTTCTTCTCACCCAGTGTCCTAATCTCTAGGTTCTCAGGCCTGCAGCTGGGTCTAGCCCCCAGCATCTGCCCCACCCCAGAGAGAGGTTCTGGCTGTGGTCCCAGCTTGTCCTACCAGCCTGTCACCAGCCCCCTCCCCCAGCCCAGTGAACCCTGAAATGTGACACTTGGTATCAGGAAAGATGTTGGATCCCTGTGAAAACTCTAAGCCCTGAATATGTTAGCAAAGTCCTCACTAAGGGCCTAGCGATTTCAGAAAGTAAAGGTAAGACTGAGTGAATACGTGTTCACATATATTCTCAAAGGAATTGGAAGCTTTCATGAGCACCTTTCTTGAAGGGGTTTGTAGTAGTTTAATATAGTCTCTAACATTGCTGTGAAGCTGGTAGTTACATCAGCTAACCTGTTTTGATTGTGCCTCTTTTTCAACTTTGCTTGGAAGAAGAGCTATCTGCGAGTGTCTCTGAGCTTCCCTTTACTCACCAACAAAATGGGGGAACATCTGCCTTGCAGGTTCACTGTGAATAGGAATTGGAATGATTGTGTACAGAGCACTTGGTACAGTCCCTGGAACATAGGAGTCGCTACAAAAGAGAACTGACTGCCAAGGGAAGAGAATGTGTAAAACCTCAGGTGCCAAAGGCCTTGGCCACCAGGATAAGGAAAACATTCTTCTGTCTACATCTGGGAAGCTCCTGGTGTTCCGTGCTTTTTTAAAAAAGATCAAGTCACTGTTTTTAAGGATACAGAGTGGAAAGAAAGGAAAAGAAGGAGAGAAAGGGAGTAAGAGGGAGAGGGAGGAAAACCATGCTGTGTGCTAATATATTAAGGGAAATCTTGGTAGCTGAAACTCTCCCATTAGACACTAAGCAAGAATCATGCCAGGTGTGGAGCTATAGAAATCAATAGAAAGCACATACAGTGAGAAAGAATAGGGACAGTAGGGTCTCCAGCTTCACAGACATTTAGGAATAAAACATCGATGTGAAGTTTCCTTATGTGGTGGTAACAGCATCCCTGTCTTTATTATCAAATATTCATCAGCTGCTTATTGAATCTAGGGCACCATGCTAAATAAGGCAGAGGACGAAAGGATGTCAGACAGTTTTTCCTTCGGTTTAGGAAAGAGAAATAACACAGCAGGCAGTGTAGGTTGAACAGCAAATGCTGAGTGGCATATACAGAGGTCACACCAGGATTGCAGAGCAAGGGGATTGTTGGGAGGATGCTTCCACGGGGGTAGGGGCAGCTTTTCTAACACTTTTAAACAGTTTTGCCTAGTATGTGCGACTGTAATCAAATATTGTTTGAATAAATGAAGAATCGGAAAGAAAGTTTTCCAGGGAATGCAAACTGTCTTAAATGCCAATGTAAGGAGTTCAAACTTGAATTTGATGAGAGGTTTTTCAGACTTAATTTCATTGTATTTTAGTCAATGGTCATTTAATTGATGTTTGACAATTCAACAGAAGAGAAGGCAATGGTGAAAGATACATTTATGTAAATAGTTGTTTATAGCCATAGCTATCTTTTTCTTTACATAGATAATTTTTCAGGCTCTTCGCTCAAAGGATAAAAGTGGTTATTTTTGAGTGGCAGACACTTTTGTGAGCTTTCTGCACCGCACAGGTTTCAGAAAGGGAGAAGAACAGGAAGACACGGGGGAAGCAGAGAGGCCTGGCTGCAACGGGGAGTCAGTGAGGATCCCTGTCGTGCACAGTTTCAGGCAAGGTTTTCAAAAGGAATACAAGGTTTCTAAGCAACCTGTAAGAAAAGGAAGCAGTGGTTTTGGGGCTGCTGGTGTGGGTTTTCCAAGACAAGCATGTAAGATTCACTTCATTTTCGTTTGCATGACAGAGAGGCAATTAGTCTTCCCTGCACATAAAATCGTATCTCAAACATTTCACAATTCGATTGACAGAGAGTGAGAAAACCAGAATTATTGGAGGCCCAAGGAAGTAGGCCATAAAAAAAATGTTTTAAAAAAGAGGTAGAATACAGATTTTTCTCATATTCTTCCTCTACCTGAAACATCAGCCATCCTATTTCCTCTAGGGCGAGATAACAAAATATTACATTTCATTTCTAACCAGAAGTTCTGGTTAAAAAGTTGTATTTATTACATCATATGCAGATTTTGCATTTAATGTGTACTCCTGAGGACTTCCTACAGAAATTAGGAGGACGTTTGGGGAGATAGGCTATGGAATGAAAGTGCTACAGAGGTAGCTAGCGTTGATGTGCTTTTGATTGTGAAAACTTGAGCCCAGAAGTTGTCTGCAATCCTCAGGCATTTAAATGTCCTGCAGTCATTTAAAAGCATGACCCAGGGAACCTGCATACTGAGGGCTGCTCAGGATGCTTCTCAGGCCCCTTGATTTCCCAGGCCCCCGCTTGGCTCATGAGTGCTTCTGATACTTTGAAAGCTCACAAGACTCTTGGAGTGTCTAATCTACTGTCATGACCTGCTACATAATTTGTGGGGCCCAGTGCAGAGTGAAAATGTGGGACCCCTTATTCAAAAATTATTAAGAACTTGAAGGCACAGGCGGCAGAGCATTAAATCAAGTGTGGGGCTTGCAGGACTGCACAGGTCTCAGGCTCTGGAAGCTGGCTTGTAATTAGATCAGTACGAATTTTAGGTTGTATGGATATGTTGGAATTTCATTTAAAAGTTTGGGTTGGGAAAAGAATTCTGCTGGGGAAAAAAGAGCACACACGGCAAAAAGAAAACAACTTACTTCAAACCTTTCATATTACAGAATATCATTAAAAATCACAAAAAGAGTAGCTTATCATCATAAATATACAGACTGAAAAAATAAGAAAACCTTTTACTTGCCTTATAATCCTCATAGATATCAATATTTTGAGGTATGTTCTTCTCAGACACATATATATTTACATATATCTTACCTTACATATTTGAGCATTTTTTAATATAGCATCACTGTGCTCATACTGCAATACTGTCCTACAACTTCCTTTTTTCCCCTCAATATATCTCAGAACTTTCTATGTCAGTCTTAACCTTCTTCATCTTTCTTATCATTGCATATTATTTCGTAATATAGATTCTCATGTTTCTCCCTGTTCCTCAATATTTCATTTGTTTTCAATTTGGGGGAGTTGTTATTATAAACAACACTACAGTGAATGTTCATGCATGTGCCTCTTTTCATAAGAGTATTTTTGTAAATACAAAAGTGTTTTTCTCAGATACATACATACCTCTAAATAGATTTGCTGGGTTAAGGAACTGAGATGCAAAAAAAACATACCTCACAGCATATAGATTTTAATAGTAAAGTTGCTTAAAGATAAGATTAGTAAAAACATAAATTGTGGTAACTTTTGAAAAACAATTTGGAACTACCTACAAAAAACCCTATGAATGGCCCTGACCAGCGTGGCCTGGTTGGAGTGTCATCCTGTAACCTGAAGGCTGAGGGTTCAATTCCCAGTTTGGGAGCATCCGATCCCCAGTCTGGGTGAATACAGGAGGCAACTAACTGATGCCTCTCTCTTGTATAGATGCTTCTCTTTAAAAGCAATGAAAAATGTTCTTGGGAGAAGAAAAAAATAAAAATAAATAAAAGCCCTATGAATGTATTATATCTTTTGATTCAGCAAAGGTGCACGTAGGAATAATCAGAGATCTGCGTAAAACTATCTGTAATGATGTTTATAGCTGTTCTATTTATAATATCGATACATATCCCAATATTCAGAAAATTTGCATCAATATGCCCATATGGGTTGTTCAAATATTGAAAACCTTTTGTGATACTGATAAATAGGTGCTGCGTGACAGCCCTTCCCGGGAGTACCCCAGCGCACCCTGTCTCCTGGGTACCCCCGACAGTTCCCTGCCATTCGAATGCTAAACTAAGGTTCACATCTTGCACAGTCTGGGCATCCAGAACTCAGTACTGGTCTGACTGGCTGGACATTCTGATTGGTTGGTCCATGCCTTCTGGCTGTTAAGTGCTTTCTATGCATTTTGAATGTAAGCCCTGAAAAATTGGTTAAAAGAATTATGATACTGGCTTATTTCTTTCCAACTTCAGCCTGGCATAACGGCTCCCGCAAAGAAGGACCGTGAGGAGAAGGGCCATTCCGCCATCAACGAGGTAGTGACCAGAGAGTACGTTATCAACATTCACAAGCTTATCCCTGGAGTGGGTTTCAAGAAGCACGTCCCTCGGGCACTCAGAGAGATCTGGAAAATTGCCATGAAGGAGATGGGAACGCCAGATGTTCTCGGCCTCAACAAGGCTGCCTGGGCCAAAGACGTGAGGAATGTCCCAGTCCGTATCCGGGTGCGCTTGTCCAGAAAACGTAATGAGGATGAAGATTCGCCAAACGAGCTCTGGACATGGGTCACTTACATACCTGTCACTCTTTTAAAATGCCTACAAATAATGTGGATGGGAACTAACTGCTGAATGTTGAACAAAATTAAAAGAAAACAAGGGGGAAAAAGGAACTATGGTACTGGGAGAACGCACAGCTATTACAAATGGCGGTGGGGGGGTGGAGGGGATGTTGGCGGTGGCGGAGGCTCCGCGTGCGGGCAGCCAGAGTGCAAATGTCAAATGTCTGTGCTTTCTGCTCAGTTTTGCTCTAAACCTAAAAACTATCTAAAAAAATAATCTGTTTTCTAAAAAAGTGGTATTCTGAAGATACGTGATATTATGGCAAGATGTTTAGAATATATTGCCAATGCGGTGGGGGGGGGCGGAGCGGGGAAGGGGAGTCAGTATACAAAGCAGTATATCTCCTATAATCCCATTGAAAACACAATCTATTCACACTGACTCACAGAGAAAGGCTAAAAAAAAACCCAATTAAAATGTCAATAACAATTATATCTAGTTGATGAGATCACACTTATTTTTTGTTATTTGCTTTGTTGCTTATCTGCATTTTCCAACTCTTTCTGCAATGAGCCTGACAACTTTCATAGTTAGGGGGAAAAAAGTGTTGTTTAAAAATAAGTGAAAACTAAAATTACTTAGCTAGGGAAAAAACAATCTTTTTTCTTGATTTATGCAACATCTGCCATACTTGCTTGAATACAGCTCCCTGGGGAATGAGCCAAAGAGTAAGCCAAGAAGGCGGACAGAAGCTCAGCGAAAACATCTGTAGGGAGGGAGGCTGGGGGTGGAAGGGAGGAGAGGCCAGGAAATCAGCCAACATCCAGTCTCCTCTCACTTTGTCTACCTCCTTTTGTTCAGACAGTTCATTTTGGTGAGGCCACAGGCATTTTTGAAATTCTGCAATGCGGGGAGCTGCCATGGGCAGCCTTGCTGTTCTTTCATGTCTGAGCATATGTGACTGTTTTTCAGAGAATACATACAAGGGAATGTTCCATTCCTTAGTTGGGCTCTAATCCAAGGTATAGATTTACAGAACTGTATACACAGCCACTAAAATAACACTCAGATGCCTCAGCACGGGATGGGGCAGCAGCTTTTATCTCAGCAGGCTCTGGTCAGAATCATCTTTTTATAATGATAAACCTTTAAACAATAGACAGCCATCTCAAACCACAGTAAAGGATCTTGACCATACTTGAAAGGCTGGAACACACTTCCCCATCCCGGCAGCTCCTGGAGGAAGTACTTCTAAGACCAGGGATCTCCTATGATATGATGGATGTTCAACCCCAGAATCCCACCTGGTCGAAAACTTGGGGCCGATAGACAGGTATGTCTCTCCTTGGACATTGAGATGGAAGCTTGAAATACTCATGGAAACGTCAGGAAGCGTCGACTGTGGGCTCCCGTGCTCTGAGACAGCTGGCATCAAACAGAACTCCACAACCGTAGACTTCACAGGACACATTTTACATCCATGGACCTAGGAAGAAAGCTTCAGTTCCCAGAGTAGGTGGTCCCTTATATGATACCAGAAATGTGCCTTCTTTACCCTCATTTCCCCTAGTATCCACCCTACTACTCAATAGAATCACAATTTTTCTATAAAAATTTAATCCTATATCATTGAGGAACAGATTTTACAAAATCATAAACACCTCTGGAACAGGTATTAACTGTATCAAATATGACCTCTTAAGTGTGATTGACTTTAAGCATCCAGTTCCTGTTAGCTCACATATGTTCCCTGCAGAGTGTCATAGATATTAAGTGACTTTAACAGTGGTGGCGGACCAGGGGTGGGGGGGAAGGGATCCTATAAGGACTTTACCTCAGGAAAGCAGACCCTGGAGGCTTCTAGCAGAGAAGGGCAAGCATGAGGGTATTTGAGGGAGAGGGAGTCAGAGAACCTAGAATATATATAGTCATCCTCATATTCAGATTCCATACTTGCAAATTGACCTACTCACTAAAATTTATTTGTAAACCTAAAATTGATCCTCTTGGCACTTTTGCTGTCATTTGTGACCTTGCGCAGAGCAGTGAAAAATTTGAGTCCCCTGACCACATGCTCCCAGCGGAGGTTAGACAAGGTGATGGTCTGTTTTCTCCTTTCAGCTCTTATACTGTAAACAAGTGTCCTTTTGGGGTCTATACAGTGCCATGTTTCTGCATTTTTGTGGGTTTTTTTGTTGTTGTTGTCACTTGTTATAAGGTCTCCCAAACATAGTGCTGAAGTGCTGTCTAGAGTTCCTTTGCACAAGAAAGCAGCAATGTGCCTTATAGAAAAACGTGTGTTAGATAAGTGTCATTCAGGCATGAGTTATGGTGCTGTTGGCAGGGACTTCACATTAATGAATCAATGATCTATATTAAATATGGAGTCTTTAAATAGAGACACATACATAACAAGATTGTGTATCGATTGGTTCATGAAAATGTGACCAGAGGTTTGCAGGTCCCTAACCCTGTATTTCCTATAGGAGCAACAGGTCAATATTTGCTAATTCAGCATTCATGGCAATTTTACAGAGCATAACTACCACAAATAATGGGAATCAACTATGAGATGAATTTTTGAAGGAGGAAAAAAATGGCAAATAAGTAAATAGCTATTGTTAGTGATAAAATAAATAACTGTATTTGTATCTTTCTATTATTCACATAAGAAAAGATGAATGAGAGAATCAGCTTGGCAATTTGTAAAGTTTATCAAAACCTAGAATTCTTGCCCTAGCTGGTGTGGCTCAGTTGGTTGGGCATTGTCCTGCAAATCAAAAGGCTGCAGGTTCGATTCCTGGTCAGAGCACATACCTGGGATGAATGTTCTGTCCCCAGTTTGAGTGCATGCAAGAGGCAGCCTATCAATGTTTCTCTCCTTTTCTTTCTCCTTCCCTTCTCCTCTCTCTGGAATCAGTAAAAGGAAAAAAAAATCATTTAAAAAAAAGTGCTAGAATTCTTTAGAATATATCAGTGTTTCATAAATATTCTAAAATTTCTCTTTCTCTTCCCCCAAGAAATCATTTCCGGAAGCAGTTCTTTCCCTCTGAAGATAACCTTGTTCATGGACATGGACTTGTACTCACTGCTGGAAGCCTGTGATACAAAAAGGACTAGAAACATCCACCTAGAAAGATTTAGCCCATTTTACCTCAATATTTCCCTCTAATTTTGTTTTATATGACAGGCTAAGTTGCCTGAAAGTGCCATTTCTAAATAACTATAGAAACAGTCCTCCAGCAATGAACATTATGTCTCACATCCCCTTGGTAACTAGGGAATTCTCTGTTCCAAATTTAGGTGAAGATGTGAAATGCGGCCCTGTCTGGGAGGACCCTGAATTACAGACCTGAGCACGCTAATTTACGAGTGCTGAAGTATGGCTTCCCAAGAATCCCTGGGGGTACAGATTAATGTGAATTGACATGCACGTCCATCATGTAATTTATATTGCAGTAACTGTCCTAGCAGTCTTAGTCGTCTTAGATTCTAACCAACTTACTTGAGTAAGAAGAAGCCTCAGCTAATTGATGACATCCACTGTGATGAGTACACAAGTGGCTCAGTGAGCACCGGGCATCAGAAGAAAAGAGCTCAGGTCAAGTGGTGCTTGTCAGACAACTCAGCCCTGTATGCAGAGGTGGGGGTGGAGGGTAGTGTGAGCGGCCCATACTGAAGAAATAAGGTGTTGAATGCTTCTCTCATACTCAAGGATGGGACAAGAAGGCCTGAATCAGGAGTAGAGAGAGGATCAACAGCCTTCAGGAGAATATGATTAGGTGACCAGGTATGACCCTCAGGTAGAACAGGCCGAGGCTGCCAGGGGAAATGACCTCCACAGGCCTCTCTCCTGGGAGGAACAGGGCGAGCCCTGGATGAATGCTGTGTCCCTGTGCCAGGTCCATGGGATCATTCTTCACTGCATTTGATAAGATTGCCCTAAGAGGCTATTCTGGTTGGGGCAGGGGCCAGGAGCTAAAACTGCATCAATGGGAAGACTGAGGTGAGGGAGGGAAGGGGGGCCCGAAGCAGGGAGCCAGCTGCTCTGGTCTGAAAAGTCCTGTGGAAGATGCTCAACTAGAGATCCAAGGCCCAGGCAGCCAGGCATTGAAGACAAAGGGGATCATTCTCTTCTGGGTCTCCAAGAGGAGAAGGCTGCCTTTTTTGGAGCCTGTGGTTCTACTGCTAGACACATGGAAATATCTAGCCACAGAAATGGAATTATAATGTGCAAGAAGCAAAGTGAGACATATTGGTGTTACCAGTGGATTACTCAATGGATTTATATCAGGGGTTTTAACTTTTCCCTCTTCAGAGGACCAGATGAGGACTAATTCTTTATAAATCCTCTGGTGTTATATTTAACTCCATCAAAGGCACAATAGATTTTTAAACCCAATTTCCTCTATGCAGAAAAGGTTCCCAGGAAAGCAAAGCAGAAAGAAGAGCATTATTATTTCCTATGTCAGTCTTTTAATCAAAACTCTTGATAAGCAGGATAGGTATATACACTCTTATACACATTGCGTCTTCTCATCCTCCATATTCACATGAGTGAATACCTTATAATAAATTTTGGGATAAGAAGATCCAAGTCTGCAAGCTGGATACCCAGGAAAGCCAGTGGTATAATTCAGTCCATGTCCAAAGGCCTAAGAACCAGGAGAGTTAGGGTTGTAAATCCAAGTCCAAAGATAAGAGAAGGTATGTCCAGCTTAAACAGTGAGGCAGAAAAAATAGACAAATTCCTCCTTCCTCCATTTTTTGTTTTATTCATATCCTCAGTCCACTTGCGTTGGGGAGGGCAATCCACTTCATGGTGTCCACCAATTCAAATGCTAATCTCATCCAGAAACACCTTCCTAGACACACCCAGAAACATTCCATCTGGGTACCTCCATTTAAGATAACACATAAAATTAGCCATTACCTGCATTACTCACTGTTAATTTCAATAACTTACTTCTTGTAGAGAAGTTCTTTGTAATTGAGAAATCTTGTCAAATTGCTTGTATTCATTATGTTTTTATAAGCATGCAGCAGGTGATGGATTACTTTGTTCCTTA